CAGGCAGCCCCCCACAAACCCTCTATAATATCCAGGCAGCCCCCACAAACCCTCTATAATATCCAGGCAGCCCCCCACAAACCCTCTATAATATCCAGGCAGCCCCCACAAACCCTCTATAATATCCAGGCATCCCCCACAAACCCTCTATAATATCCAGGCAGCCCCCCACAAACCCTCTATAATATCCAGGCAGCCCCCACAACCCCTCTATAATATCCAGGCAGCCCCCCACAACCCCTCTATAATATCCAGGCATCCCCCCACAACCCCTCTATAATATCCAGGCAGCCCCCCACAACCCCTCTATAATATCCAGGCAGCCCCCCACAAACCCTCTATAATATCCAGGCAGTCCCCACAAACCCTCTATAATATCCAGGCATCCCCCACAAACCCTCTATAATATCCAGGCAGCCCCCCACAAACCCTCTATAATGTCCAGGCAGCCCCCCACAAACCCTCTATAATATCCAGGCAGCCCCTCACAAACCCTCTATAATATCCAGGCAGCCCCTCACAAACCCTCTATAATATCCAGGCAGTCCCCACAAACCCTCTATAATATCCAGGCAGCCCCCCACAAACCCTCTATAATATCCAGGCAGCCCCCCACAAACCCTCTATAATATCCAGGCAGCCCCCCACAAACCCTCTATAATATCCAGGCAGCCCCCCACAAACCCTCTATAATATCCAGGCAGCCCCTCACAAACCCTCTATAATATCCAGGCATCCCCCACAAACCCTCTATAATATCCAGGCAGCCCCCCACAAACCCTCTATAACATCCAGGCAGCCCCCACAAACCCTCTATAATATCCAGGCAGCCCCCCACAAACCCTCTATAATATCCAGGCAGCCCCCCACAAACCCTCTATAATATCCAGGCAGCCCCCCACAAACCCTCTATAATATCCAGGCAGCCCCCCACAAACCCTCTATAACATCCAGGCATCCCCCACAAACCCTCTATAATATCCAGGCAGCCCCCCACAACCCCTCTATAATATCCAGGCAGCCCCCCACAAACCCTCTATAATATCCAGGCAGCCCCTCACAAACCCTCTATAATATCCAGGCAGCCCTCCACAACCCCTCTATAATATCCAGGCAGCCCCCCACAAACCCTCTATAATATCCAGGCAGCCCCCTCACAAACCCTCTATAATATCCAGGCAGCCCCCCCCACAAACCCTCTATAATATCCAGGCAGCCCCCCACAAACCCTCTATAATATCCAGGCAGCCCCCCACAAACCCTCTATAATATCCAGGCAGCCCCCCACAAACCCTCTATAATATCCAGGCAGCCCCCCACAAACCCTCTATAATATCCAGGCAGCCCCCCACAAACCCTCTATAATATCCAGGCAGCCCCTCACAAACCCTCTATAATATCCAGGCAGCCCCCCACAAACCCTCTATAATATCCAGGCAGCCCCCCACAAACCCTCTATAATATCCAGGCAGTCCCCACAAACCCTCTATAATATCCAGGCAGCCCCTCACAAACCCTCTATAATATCCAGGCAGCCCCTCACAAACCCTCTATAATATCCAGGCAGCCCCTCACAAACCCTCTATAATATCCAGGCAGCCCCCCACAAACCCTCTATAATATCCAGGCATCCCCCCACAAACCCTCTATAATATCCAGGCATCCCAACCCTCCCACAAAACCATAACAAACCTGTAGGGAAACCCAACAAGTGTGTGAAGAAAAGCTCATTAAAGTTCACTCTGAATGAACCCGACGGCCGAAAAATTGCTCTGAAAAACAAATACTCAAAAGTTCAAATGAATTCGACCTTCCGCGGCAATTTTCAGACGGATAAAAAAATTTACCCACATGCAAAGGTATGAATATATTACGATCCTATCCCCCCCCCCCTTCGCAAAAAAATATATATATAAATTAATGAGAACTAGATGGATTCGAATGAGGCTGAGTGATTGGGCTGAGTGATTGGGCTGAGTGATTGGTGTAGCGAGTTAATGTACTCTTCTAGCTGTAGGGGTGAGTACATCAGGTACTCATCTGCTGTGAGTATGAGTACCCCCCCCACATGAGGTATACTCACCTGATAGTGAGAGAAAGAGAGTCATTATACCCTGAGGGAATAATGACTCTCATAAACATATCATTATAGTGTTATGGTATATATATATACTTCTAATCCGAAGTGATTATAATGTATTTAGTCGTGGTAGAGAGTTGATATACACCCACTTGTTATGCGTGCTTGCTGTTGTACCATCCTGCATAACATTACGTATGATTTCAAACAACAACAGACCATTAGATCCAGACTAGGGCTCGTTTGTTGACGTATAGCTCGTGGTTGGCACAGGTTAAGGCAGCAGATGAAGAGTTTTGACAGTTTTCTGTCAACAAATATGACAGTCAGCCCACGAAACATACATTTGTGTATTTATTTTAGAAAAATGAACAATATGCGCTGATATGACCGATAAATATACTCTAATATGCGCTGATATGACCGATAAATATACTCTAATTATTTATTGTTGCATGCATTTGAAAAAAATTATTTGCTCTTTAGTAAGCCAATATTGATTGGACAATGGAACAAAATTTACATTTCCATATTGGGTAATTTTTGCTCTAGTTCGGTTATATTTTTGAAGTCATAGCTGGTTATATTATGGTATTTACAACCAGCTTTCTCTCTCTCAGGTGTTTTCCCCCTCTCTCAACACCTGTTTAGCAGGTGTTATGTTGTCTTGAGCACCTGCTCACGTCCAAGTAACTTTGGTGTGTAATATCAATATATCTATAGGTTAAGCACTAATTGTAATTAAGAAGCAATAAAATCCTTATCTTCAAACACTAAGAAGGTTAGGTAAGGTCGTGGTTTTCTATTCAGCTTTTCAGGTAAACTCAAATATTCACAATATATTTGACAGTACGGTTTAATACTAAGTGAAAATAAGTTTAAGAAAATAAGTACAAGAATGTAACAACTCTTGTATATATCTCAAAAAAAAAGTACAATTCCTCACTGCTATGAAAAGTAGATAATTGCACTTGTGCTGATACATTTACCTCCAAAATTTTTGGAGGACGAGATGTTTTATTTATATATATATATATTTATTTACATACAAGAAGGTAAATTGGGTAATGAGAATACATATCACTGGTGTTCTTACACTCTTGCGAAGCCGCTAACACGCATAGCGTTTCGGGCAGGACCTTCATCTAACAGATAAAAAGTAAGATTAAAGTAAGATTAAAGTAAGATAAAAGTAAGATAAGATAGCTACAATACAAATTGATTGTATTGAATACACTGGTAATGTTGCGTGTCTGAAGTGCTAGAATTGGGTGAGTGGGGTAGCAGAAGATAGGAAACTATGAGGATGTAATTAGGTACTTTTTGTTTTTTTTTGAATAAAGCATTGGTTGGACAGTATTTTTAATTCATTAGGGAGTGAGTTCGACAGGCTGGGACCTTTTATTTGCATGGAGTGTTTGCACAGATTTGCACAGGTGCGTTTTAGAGAGATGAAGCTACAAAGGTTCCATGACTTGTAGTGGGCGCCTGGGACGCAACAAGGGGACGCAACAAAGGACGCAACAAGTGACCCATGACTGTTGTAGAGAGCACTGTTATGTGCGCGCCTGGGACGCAACAAGGGGACGCAACAAAGGACGCAACAAGTGACCCATGACTGTTGTAGAGAGCACTGCGGTGTGCGCGCCTGGGACGCAACAAAGGACGCAACAAGGGGACGCAACAAAGGACGCAACAAGTGACCCATGACTGTTGTAGAGAGCACTGCGGTGTGCGCGCCTGGGACGCAGGACGCCGCCAGCCACTCTGATAACTTTTGTGCCCCGCAAGCCAATCTTGCTTTCATCTTCAGCTATTGTTTAGTTTATGTATGTGTTTGTGTGTACTTATGTGAATGCTCGTGTACGTGCGTGAATATGTGTGTGCGTGTTCTTTTATGCGTATTTGCGAATGTACGTGTGTGCGTCTGAGTGCGTTTGTGTGTATGAATGTGTTTGTTTTCAATTAAATTTGCTTTGCGGGGTCAAGTGCCAGCTCCCAAACCCCGCTTTACGAGCACTCGGTAGTTTAATTAATCCTTTTTCCCTTTGGCCTTTTTCAGATCAGGTTCACGCAGAATATTGTGTATTGAATTAACTGTTCCTTAAATTTCTATGATACATTGTGCTTCAAGTTTCTATATCTTCCTCATCTTTTGTTTCTCATTCTGAATGTTGTTTCTGTGTCTGTTTTATCAATTTCCCGTTTAATTTCGCACGTTGTTGTCATGTCTCCGCATACCGTTCCTTCCAGTGTAATTAGGTCTTGTTCCCTTAGTCTATTTCTGGGCTTAGCGTCCCCGCGGTCCGGTCCTCGACCAGAACTCCTTTTTGTTACACACGCCCCCAGGAAGCAGCCCGTAGCAGCTGTCTAACTCCCAGGTACCTATTTATTGCAAGGTGAACAGGTGCATCAGGGTGAGAGAAACGCTACCCATTTGTTTCCGCCTCCGCCGGGGGTCGAACCCGGAACCTTAGGACTACGAATTGAGGTGTTCCTCAAGAACATCCTCGTTCTTGCCCCTTACTGTTCTATACAGATCTACACAACATTCTGTTCTTCTCTGACTGTTCTATACAGATCTTCACAACATTCTGTTCTTATCTGACTGTTCTATACAGATCTTCACAACATTCTGTTCTTCTCTGACTGTTCTATACAGATCTTCACAACATTCTGTTCTTCTCTGACTGTTCTATACAGGCCCACACAACATTCTTGTCGTTCTCTTACTGTGCATGTTATGTCCGCCAGCACTATCTCAATATCTATATATAAATATAAATAAATATAGATATTTTTCAATTAGAATTTAATCTAGTCTGCGTATTTTTAGATCTGCAAAAAATAGCTGAATGAGGTTCGTTTTTGGCACAGATTTGCTGGGGCTAATGCTGTCATTGTACCTCTCTCAGCTGTGATGGCTGTCATTGTACCTCTCTCAGCTGTGATGGCTGTCATTGTACCTCTCTCAGCTGTGATGGCTGTCATTGTACCTCTCTCAGCTGTGATGGCTGTCATTGTACCTCTCTCAGCTGTGATGGCTGTCATTGTACCTCTCTCAGCTGTGATGGCTGTCATTGTACCTCTCTCAGCTGTGATGGCTGTCATTGTACCTCTCTCAGCTGTGATGGCTGTCATTGTACCTCTCTCAGCTGTGATGGCTGTCATTGTACCTCTCTCAGCTGTGATGGCTGTCATTGTACCTCTCTCAGCTGTGATGGCTGTCATTGTACCTCTCTCAGCTGTGATGGCTGTCATTGTACCTCTCTCAGCTGTGATGGCTGTCATTGTACCTCTCTCAGCTGTGATGGCTGTCATTGTACCTCTCTCAGCTGTGATGGCTATCATTGTACCTCTCTCAGCTGTGATGGCTGTCATTGTACCTCTCTCAGCTGTGATGGCTGTCATTGTACCTCTCTCAGCTGTGATGGCTGTCATTGTACCTCTCTCAGCTGTGATGGCTGTCATTGTACCTCTCTCAGCTGTGATGGCTGTCATTGTACCTCTCTCAGCTGTGATGGCTGTCATTGTACCTCTCTCAGCTGTGATGGCTGTCATTGTACCTCTCTCAGCTGTGATGGCTGTCATTGTACCTCTCTCAGCTGTGATGGCTGTCATTGTACCTCTCTCAGCTGTGATGGCTGTCATTGTACCTCTCTCAGCTGTGATGGCTGTCATTGTACCTCTCTCAGCTGTGATGGCTGTCATTGTACCTCTCTCAGCTGTGATGGCTGTCATTGTACCTCTCTCAGCTGTGATGGCTGTCATTGTACCTCTCTCAGCTGTGATGGCTGTCATTGTACCTCTCTCAGCTGTGATGGCTGTCATTGTACCTCTCTCAGCTGTGATGGCTGTCATTGTACCTCTCTCAGCTGTGATGGCTGTCATTGTACCTCTCTCAGCTGTGATGGCTGTCATTGTACCTCTCTCAGCTGTGATGGCTGTCATTGTACCTCTCTCAGCTGTGATGGCTGTCATTGTACCTCTCTCAGCTGTGATGGCTGTCATTGTACCTCTCTCAGCTGTGATGGCTGTCATTGTACCTCTCTCAGCTGTGATGGCTGTCATTGTACCTCTCTCAGCTGTGATGACAGTCATTGTACCTCTCTCAGCTGTAAAACTGAGAGAGGTGTATGATAACACAATGTCATTATTCAAGCCGGATTTAAACGGCTTGTCAATAACTAACTTTGTGACACTAAATCCCTTAGTTAACTAGGCTTTGTAATGAATCAAACACAGTCTTGCCTAACTAGCCGATGTGTTATGTCCCGTAGAACCGGCTATACATTATACAGTAGACCAGGTACGTTATTATACACCTCATACATCTGTGAGGTGTATTTCAATAAAAGTTTATGTACAAAAACAAATACAAATATTAATTCAGGTCAAGTACATACATACATACAAGGTAAGATACAGAAAGTTGATGGATTTATAGATAGAGCCAGTACATACAGTGCCATATGGCTAGCAATGGCTATGGCTAGCAATAACAATGGCTATGGCTAGCAATGGCTATGGCTAGCAATAGCAATGGCTATGGCTATGGCTAGCAATGGCTATGGCTAGCAATAACAATGGCTATGGCTATGGCTAGCAATGGCTATGGCTAGGAATAGCAATGGCTATGGCTATGCCTAGCAATGGCTATGGCTAGCCATACATACATATGGCTAGTAATGAGAGACTGGTAGGTGGTGAGCGAGTGCTTGACGTCAGAGCTGGTGCAGGATGGATCATTAATTTCTGAGAATATGAGAGCAATTATTTCTTCAAGTGTAGCAAGTGTAGGCACCAGACAGCAGGTGTAGGTGTGGACACGAGGCTGGTCAGCAGGTGTAGGTGTAGACACGAGGCCAGGCAGCAGGTGTAGGTGTGGACACGAGGCCAGGCAGCAGGTGTAGGTGTGGACACGAGGCTGGTCAGCAGGTGTAGGTGTGGACACGAGGCTGGTCAGCAGGTGTAGGTGTGGACACGAGGCTGGTCAGCAGGTGTAGGTGTGGACACGAGGCCAGGCAGCAGGTGTAGGTGTGGACACGAGGCCGGGCAGCAGGTGTAGGTGTGGACACGAGGCCGGGCAGCAGGTGTAGGTGTGGACACGAGGCCGGGCAGCAGGTGTAGGTGTGGACACGAGGCCGGGCAGCAGGTGTAGGTGTGGACACGAGGCTGGTCAGCAGGTGTAGGTGTGGACACGAGGCTGGTCAGCAGGTGTAGGTGTAGGTGTGGACACGAGGCCAGGCAGCAGGTGTAGGTGTGGACACGAGGCCAGACACAGCAGGTGTAGGTGTGGACACGAGGCCAGGCACAGCAGGTGTAGGTGTGGACACGAGGCCAGACACAGCAGCTGTAGGTGTGGACACGAGGCCAGATACAGCAGGTGTAGGTGTGGACACGAGGCCGGATATAGCAGGTGTAGGTGTGGACACGAGGCCAGACAGTAGGTGTAGGTGTGGACACGAGGCCAGACACAGCAGGTGTAGGTGTGGACACGAGGCCAGGCACAGCAGGTGTAGGTGTGGACACGAGGCCAGACACAGCAGGTGTAGGTGTGGACACGAGGCCAGACACAGCAGGTGTAGGTGTGGACACGAGGCCAGACACAGCAGGTGTAGGTGTGGACACGAGGCCAGACACAGCAGGTGTAGGTGTGGACACGAGGCCAGATACAACTAAAGATTCCCTCATAAATCACAGCCAGGGTCAACAACCAAAGATGTACACGCTCTCAAACTTCATCTCTAGGCTCTTATCTTTTTCCTTTAGTTGTTACCTATTCTTCCTGTTAGGCCTTCAACAATTTCCTTTATTCCTATTAACACTTTTGGCTTACCTTCTCCCTTTGCTCCTTCCATTTTTACCTCATATCTTGACTTGCTCGCTCTCTCTGCTTCCTCACACGGCTTGATAAGGACGACGCGACATATCCTCTCTTCTCACACGTCCCATAGTACCCGTCCCATCGGGTACAAGATTATATACAATAGTATATGCTTTAAAAATTTTAAAGAGAATGAATTGTAGGAACGTTAACAGAAAACGATGTGACGGTAGAATATCTATGGGGCAGACTTCTGTAAGTAGGATAGATAAAGCGTCCACAACAAGTCACACGAAGATTACGTGTCCACTACCACACAAAAGATAGGTATGGGGTCCACTATCACCTGTTGGATGGGTATGATGTCCACTACCACCCACAGGATGGGTATGGGGGTCCACTACCGCCAAGAGGAAGGGTATGGGGTCCAATACCATTCACAGGATAGGTAAGGGGTCCACTACCACCTGTAGGATAGGTATGGGGCCTACAAACACCCATAGAATGGGTATGGGGGCCACTACAATCCACAGGTTTGATATGGGGGTCCACTTCCGCACAGATGGTGGACCCCATAACCATCCTACGGGTTGTAATGGACCCCATACCCATCCTACGGGTTGTAGTGGACCCCACGACCCATCCTAGGGGTTGTAATGGACTCCCATACCCATCCTACGGGTGGTAGTGGACCCCATACCCATCCTACGGATTATATTGGACCCCCATACCCATCCTACGGGTTGTAGTTGGCCCCATACCCATCCTACGCGTTCTAGTGAACACTATACCCATCCTGCGGGTTATAGTGGACCCCATACCCCTCCTACGGGTTATAGTGGACCCCATACCCATCCTACGGGTTGTAATAGACCCCTTACCCATCTTACGGGTTATAGTGGACACCATCCTACGGGTGATAGTGGACCCCATACGCATCGAGTGACTAGTTGTTGAACCCTATATCCATCCTGAGGATACACTGGCAGTGTTGAAGGTAGCAATGGTCAGTGTACAGGTTCCCAAGTAGGAAGACTTGAGAGGCAAGACCGACAAGAGGCATCAACATCAGAGGCTCTAGTGTCACGTCACAGACTTGACGAGGTGGGAGGCAATATCATGTTATGTTATCCCGTCGTTGTAGATGTTTTTTAGAACTCCGAGACGGTCTTTTTTATATATAATTCTGACATGTTTTGCCTCAGTGGGATTCCTATATCCTGGTTACATCCGCCGTATTCCTTCGCGGGTATTCTACATCCTGATGATAAGTTAGGATGCTCCTCATCCTAAGATAGCCAATATGTTTCTGATAATGAGTGTCAAGTTTCTCATCAGTCGACATGCAACAAACTGATTAAGGCAGGAGTCTCCAGTGGACATCCTACATTCTGATTCAGACAGGACTCTCTCCAGTGGGATATCCAACATCCTGATTCAGGCAGGTCTCTCTCCAGTGGATATCCAACATACTGATTCAAGCTGGACTCTCTCCAATGGATATCCAACATCCTGATTCAGACAGGACTCTCTTCAGTGGATATCCAACATCCTGATTCAAGCTGGACTCTCTCCAATGGATATCCAGCATCCTGATTCAGACAGGACTCTCTCCAGTGGATATCCAACATGCTGATTCAGGCAGGACTCTTTCCAGTGGATATCCAACATCCCGATTCAGGCAAGACTCTATTGGATATCCAACATCCTGATTCAGGCAGGACTTTCTCCCCAATGGGTATCCAACAACCCGATTCAAGCTGGACTCTCTCCATTGGATATCCAACATCCTGATTCAGGCAGAACTCTCGCCATTGGATATCCAACATTCTGATTCAGGCAGGATTCTGTCCAGTGGATATCCAACATCCTGATGACATTGCAGACAGAGAAGTTGTCTACACAGTGATTGGATGTTGTGATAGGCTTGAAGAAATAAAAGCAATACCTTTATAAATAACGAACAAAGAAATGTGTAAATTTTTAATATCCATTTAATATTAAGCTCATTATAATTATTATTAATTGCTCATCAACTCATTTTTCTTAATAATATGTTGAGAAAACATGATGACATATTTGATATTTGAATTGGCTGTATCTCGGTAAATATGAGTGTAAAAGCCTTCATATTGAAAATTAGCAAAGAAAGAGTTAACAGAAAGAAATGTCAGGGATTGCGGTAAATCTAATGGTACTATTTTCAAAACGATTCTATGGCTGGTTTTGATTTTGAGTTTTGCGAAAAATGACGATTTCGCCGAGGCGGCGATTCTTGCCCGGCAGCTGGGCTTGGCGCCATCTTTTGGTAATTACTAACTCACTTCCCTGACGGCTGAGCTGTGTGGCCGTCATGTCCCGAGGCATCATATGCCTGCTTTTATCTTTTGGTCCGTTTTTTATTACGTGATTACTCATTGGCTATTTCTTATATCAATACGAAATAAGGTAATTTTTAAATAAAAATAAATTGGGGTGTTCTGAAAAAATAGCCGGCTAGCTGAGTGAAGCATTATATAGTGCTGTACTATTTATTTATTTTTATATGTTTTTATTTATTTAAATAAAACGCATTTAATCAATGTTTCTATAAAAGCACTCGTTAAGATAGATGTCCTATATCCTACCTTGAGGTGCTTCCGGGGCTTAGTGTCCCCGCGGCCCGGTCGTCGACCAGGCCTCCTGAAGACAATGAAAGAATATCGTAGAGCTGTTGATATCCTGCACTATGAATAATGTAGGAAGGCCTCTCATCTAGGGATATCTACTTTTTTTTATATAATTTTGATATCTTTCGCCTCAGTGGAACTCCTATATCCTGATTACATCCGCCGTATTCCTACGCTGGTAATCTACATCCTGATGATAAGTTAGGATGCTCCTCATCCTTAGATTTCCAATATGTTTCTGATAATGAGGCCACGTTTCTCATCAGTGGACATCCAACATCCTGAATTAGGCAAGAATCTCTCCAGTGGATATCCAACATCCTAATTCATGCAGGATTCTCTCCAGAGGATATCTAACATTCTGATTCAGCCAGGACTCTCCCCAGTGGATATCCAACATCCTAATTCATGCAGGATTCTCTCCAGAGGATATCCAACATCCTGATTCAGCCAGGACTCTCCCCAGTGGATATCCGACGTCCTGATTCAGGGCAAGACATCCTGATCCAGTGGACATCCCACAAGGTCTAAGTGTACCCACACAGGGCAGTATTCTGTACCCATATGAAGCGGTGTTCTGTATACACGTGAAGCCATGTTCTGTACCCATGTGAAGCGGCGTTCTGTACCCACGTGAAGCTGTGTTATATTACCATGTGAATAGGTGTTCTGTACCCATGTGAAGCGGCGTTCTGTACCCATGTGAAGCGGTGTTCTCCATCCATGTGAAGCAGTGCTCTGTGCCCATGTGAAACACAAAGGAGTCAATAAAAGGCGAAGCGTCAGGTATTAATCATATTTTATTAATTACACTCAATACGTTTTCATAATCTCATATATTTAATTAATAAAACCATTACGGAATAAAAAAGAATTTAATGTTTACATCTTTTTTTTTTTTTTAAGTAGAAGGTAGTATAATAGTTTTATCAACATTATTTCTTCTTTGATGTGTCAGGTATAGTTTGTCACACAAACTATATCAGTATAGTTTTTTGACACAAACTATGGCAATATTGTTTTGACACAATGGCAGTATAGATTTTTACTCAAACTATATCAGTATAATTTTTGACACTATGGCAAAATAGTTTTTGACACAATGACAGTATAGTTTTTGACACAAACTATATCAGTATAGTTTGTGATACAGACAACGGTAATAGTTGTCTGGAGAACATTTTGAAATATATAATTTACCGTAATTAACAGACGTGGAAGGCGATGTAGTACATCAATGTTTATCTGTCAGTCTCGGTCTCTCAGTCTCTCTCACTCTCTCTCTCTCACTCTCACTCTCTCTCTCTCTCTCTCTCTCTCTCTCTCTCTCTCTCTCTCTCTCTCTCTCTCTCTCTCTCTCTCTCTCTCTCTCTCTCTCTCTATGATCGGCTGAATGATTGTCAGTTTATTTGTGTCTATGTCCTTGTCTATATTTCTGTTTATCGTCTGTATGTCTATGTCTGTCTGTCTTGGTCTGCTGGAATGTCTCACCAAAGAGGAGTACTCTGTACCATTCTCACCATAACCGAGTACAGAGTACCACCCTTCAAAGTGGAGTACACTGTACCACTGTTGTATAAAGTACCTCTCCCCCAAGTGTCAAGTACATTGTACCTCTCTAACCAGAGCCGAAAACCAGGTTATCAGTTATTACATGTTTGATACACGAAATAAAACTGCAGATAATTGAAGCCTCAGAAATACTCACAAAAAGCATATTAATTACCAGCAAAACGGAATGAGTTTATCCACAAAACTAATCATTTAATACATAGTTTTAAAGATATAACTCATTCATGGCCATGATGGGGACTTCACCCGCAGTTGTAATATTGCAAACACCTCTCTGAAACATTGTCAGAACAGGCGTTTCCGGTGAGGTGAGATGAGGGGGTCCTTTGTGTCAAAGCCCCTCGATCACAGCCTCGCTGATATGCGCTTAGTAAATGGCATTGTTCACCAACAAACTTGATATGTAGTGGAATGTGTTCCTGTTGTCCTCACTACATGGGTCTGCTATAGCACCAGTACCATGCATTGTGTCCTTGTAGTCCTCACTATACGAGATTGCTACAGCACTATGTAATGTGTCCCTGTAGTTCTCAATACACAAGATTATTATAATAATCCAGCTCACTCATACATAATACCACCACTGTAGCATTCACTGTAAGCAAGTAATTATCAAAAAGATTCACTGTAAGTAAGCTCCCATCATATAGACAACACAGTTCTCACCATCAACATTTCCCCTCGAGGTATACCTTATGTTGCGTTAGAGTAAGAAATACTGCCCCTCTCCATAATACTTCCCCGGACATTCAAGTTTATATTGCTCCTCGCCAGTGTTTTACACCTGGTCACTGTTCTACACCTGGCCTCTTTTCCTTGCTAGTGTTCTACACTTGGTCACTGTTCCTCGCCAGTGTTCTACACTTGGCTGCCGTTGCGGTTGTGAAAAACAGAGCGGGTGGAGGTGGAGTAGCAGAAGCCGTTCTTGTACCGAATCATCAGCGCCGCGCGGTCACCGTCTCCACCTTCAGGCGTCTGTCTGCCGAAAAATAACGGCTCATGAACACACCAAAACTCACACTGTCTTATTATTACATTCTACCAACCATACTATGAGAAAATAATAAGGTCCCTGGCGTGAGTACTGTTCCAGGAGAACGAGCTCACTCACTACCTACTGTACCATGATGGGCATAAATGTCTATATATTGTTTTAATATTTCATCAGTGATCATGTTTTGAGTAACGAACATATTCAAGAGCATTCATAAAATAAATATATATATATATATTTTTTTACTCTGAACTGCACTAACTATATACATATATATATATATATATATATATATATATATATATATATATATATATATATATATATATATATATATATATATTTTATATATATATATATATATATATATATATATAACCTTATATATATATATATATATATATATATATATATATATATTTTATATATATATATATATATATATATATATATATATATATATATATATATATATATATATATATATATATGTCGTACCTAGCAGCCAGAACTCACTTCTCAGCCTACTATGCAAGGCCCGATTTGCCTAATAAGCCAAGTTTTCATGAATTAGTTGTTTTTCGACTACCTAACCTACCTAACCTAACCTAACCTAACTTTTTCGGCTACCTAACCGAACCTAACCTATAAAGATAGGTTAGGTTAGGTTAGGTAGGGTTGGTTAGGTTCGGTCATATATCTACGTTAATTTTAACTCCAATAACAAAAAATTGACCTTATATATAATGAAATGAATAGCTTTATCATTTCAAAAGAAAAAAAATAGAGAAAATATATTAATTCAGGAAAACTTGGCTTATTAGGCAAATCTGGCCATGCATAGTAGGCTGAGAAGTGCGTTCTGGCTACTAGGTACGACATATATATATATATATATATATATATATATATATATATATATATATATATATATATATATATATATATATATATATATATATATATAGAGAGAGAGAGAGAGAGAGAGAGAGACATATATATGGAGAGAGATGAGGAAGGATATCATTTAAAATGTTCGAGATTACTGGGAAAAAATCCCACTCACATGTTGTCAAATACGTGTTAATAACTGTTTACCACAAATTACATTAACATCAACATTTCACGGAAGATATTGAAGGTCGTTCCTGATTTTGTAGCCTAACCTAACTGTATCGAGAGAAGATAAAGGGCACAGAGAGATTTCATATATCACTATCATCTCGACCTTCTGTGATGCAGGCAAAGTCAGAGTGCATGACATTGCATGCAGATCGCTGCAACATTCTACAGAACACAACAACCCACCTCGTGTCCTAAAGGACCCCCACATATTGGCACATTTCCCAGTGAGTGTTGGCGGCGGGTCGGGGAGAGGATAATAGGTTATCTTGTGGAGTGTGAGAGACCAAATTCGATTACCGTAAATGTGGCTCCTTTTCTTGGTATATGAGGCTTCGCAGATACTTTATTTTGAACGACGCCGCTCAGCAGGCGTCAGAATACCTCTGCGAAGTGGCACTTGAGGTTTATGCTTGAGTGTTAAGCTTGAGTGTTAAGTAATGCTGGCAGGAAGCTTGTCTTATAAGGTGTTCATTGTGTTCTTTTTTCCTTAAGTGTTTTAATAACTTTGCTTCAGGATTTTGGAGGTTATATTCTTTTATTTATCAAGGGAATGATATTGTAAAAATGAATTCAATTTTTTTTCCGTTCAGAGGAAAGAGAGCCACTGGTTGATGGTTGGTGAGGTACGGGTTGATTGATGGAAGAGCGACGTGTTGACAGATCTGGGACGTGTTGATGTAATACCCTTCTCATTCATATAGGGACGGGTCGAGTTCACAAGAAACAACATTTATCTCCTTATCATGACTACTCAATAGCTCGGTCGATAGAGCTTCGGCCTCACACACGTGTGGGGTCCACGGTTCGAGGCCTCCCTAGAGCCCAGGTAAATGCAATATCTCCATCAGTTAGGTGAAATACCGTAGCGTAACGCTAAGATGCATCTCACACCTCGACAGCAGCGGTTGCAAAACCCTCGCTGGCGAGAGGGTTTTTTGTATGAAGACGAACAATCTTCGTACAAAATTTTGTATCAAGATACTAGGTATCAAAATTGTGATTCAATTTTGTATTGTTCATCTTGAGTGTGAACTATTCTCCTCGATGACCTGCTCCCCATCATTAATGCCAAGGTTGAATGCTATTTATTGCCTGTCTCTACTTCCTCATCACAATCGACTTGAGAATGATCCAGGACGGACCGAAACGTCGTCGTCCCTTCACATTCTAGTGTGTGGTCTGGTCAACATTGATGCCAAGCTTGGACAAGGTGAAGAAGCGTGAGAAGTCAAAAGTCTTGACCCAGTCTGGTTGGCCTGATCAGTTCATCAGAGCCTTCAACACTGGAGAGATGTTGGTGAACTTACCGTTATGCGTAAGGACACTGTTCTTCAGAAGTTGGCAGCTAGAACACAAGGTGCTCAGCCATCAATATTCTCTTGCTGGTTATTCCTTTGTCAATGACACTTCTTGAAGACTAAACCACACACCTGAAGATTAGGAGACGGAAACGTTTCGGTCCGTCCTGAGCCATTATCAAGTTGATTATCACAATCGACTTGATAATGGTCCTGGGACTGACACGTCGTCGCCTCCTCATCTTCTGGTGTGTGGTTTAGTCATGATATCATCAGCCACGTTACTGGGACTCATCGTCTGCAATAACACCTCTTCATCAGCGATCATCCAGTTCTGGGCTGACCAGCATTAAAAACTTGTTCTCGAATATGAATAAATGTGTGAAATCAACTGACTATATGAAGGCTCTGGCATACACTTGCCTCCCTCTTCATCCAGTAAGAACTAACTTCGCATTAAATTAAATATGTTCAGAATGAAAGCTAATAATAAACTCATTAATTAAATGAGTTTCTTGGATCAGGCTTCAGAGGTTAACGTTGGATAGCAGCTCTAAGCTTGCAGGGTCTTAGCAGCGCAACTCATAAATCCTTTTGTGTGTTTGAGTGTGTGTGAGTGAGAGCGACAGAAAGAGACAGAGAAAATCTACTTTGGTTATAAAGTATATAATTTTAATTTGCCATATTTTAGGCGTCATGAGAAAAATATATATACATGCCTCTTGCCACATAACAAAAAATACTCTTTACATACAAATCAATGATTGGAAAATGGCGAACCAATATATTTATCAACATGTTATAAGATCTACGAATCATAACCAAGTAACGAAGTTGTGCGAATGCAAAGCATGCCCATCATCCCCTCACATTACTCCCCTGTCCCGTCATCTTCTCCTCCATATTTATATTCACTCTAAGACAACATTGTAGCAGTGGCTGGGATTAAACTATAAACCTCCGACATACTCTCCTCTAAGTTGTTTGTTTGTGTTTAGTAAATTAACCAATTGTCTCTTATCACTGCAACTGTGTCTCCAGCGACCTCTGACCTCTCACATAATCAGTGAGAGGTAAATCGCTACTCACAGGCGTGAGTCGCACTCAGCTTAATTTAAGCTGTCACGCTCACGCGCCAGACCTCAGGGGTGAGGAAAAAAATATGCTAATTGTGACTCATCATATAGGCAAGTTCCTTTCACTATCAAGATGATTCACTTGCATGCTCAACAGGCTAAAATATGACTCATATGCTCCACTGGTACGATCTGCAATGTACGATATCACCAGTATGATCAGCTAGCATATGCTCTAACAGATCAAATGTTATCCTATGCTCTACTCGAATCCTCTACAGTATACAACGATTACCAATGAGCTTCAATGACTTGCTCTACAAAATATAATATTTATTATATGATCCCCTGGCATGCTCTACACGATATAATATGCCCAATATGCTTCACTACCATGCTCTACAAGATAAAATCTGCTCAATATGTTCCTCTATCATGCTCTACAAAATATAATATGCTTCACTATTATGCTACACAAGATATAATATGCCCAATATGTTCCACTATCATGCTGAACAAGATATAATATGCCCAATATACTCCATTATCATGCTTTACAAGATATAATATGCCCAATATGCTCCACTATCATGCTCTACAAGATATAATATGCTCCCCTATCATGCTCTACAAGATATAATATGCCCAATATGCTCCACTATCATGCTCTACAAGATATAATATGCCCAATATGCTCCACTATCATGCTCTACAAGATATAATATGCCCAATATGCTCCACTATCATGCTCTACAAGATATAATATGCCCAATATGCTCCACTATCATGCTCTACAAGATAAAATATTACCCATATGCTCCGTTCAGGGACGGATGAGCATCGTCTTCGGATTGTGAGCTGAAAAATATGGCGTGTTTATGAATTACTGAATTTGTTGTCTAACTCCCCGCCCCATTTTACTGCTGAGTGAACAGGGGCATCAGAGGGAAAGAAGCGTGCCCAACCGTTTCTGTCCTGCTCGGGTACCGAACCCCACGTCCCGGTTGTGAGCCGAAGACGCAAACCAGAGATTCTTGTATTGTGACTGATGAGGAGAGATAGTGAGGAGAGATAGTGAGGAGAGTGCATAGTCAGATGTGAAGATGATGCTTCGTGTACATACAATGAGTGCTGCCAAAGCTTGGACACGTATTCATACATATTCATACATACACAGCTTGCCTGAATATGCAAAGTTTGGACACGAATGCATACATATCCTTAGATATACAGCTTGCCTGAATATGTAAAATTTGGACACGTATGCATACATATTCTTACATACACAGCTTGTCTGAATATGTAAAGTTTGGACACGCATTCATACATATTCTTACATACACAGCTTGCCTGAATATGTAAAGCTTGGACACGTATTCATACATGTCCATACTCACGCTAGTCAAACACTATAACTAGTCTCCCTGTATTAATACAAAGTTACAGCACCCGAAGACCAGCTACGGTGTTTACAGAAATTATTTCTCAATGTATTTAAGCTAGACGCTGGACCTATAAGCATAATATACAGACAGACAGACAGACAGACACAGCAGAGTTCTAAACCATCAATGTTGTGTGACAGAGGAGAGTGACACAGTCTGTCACAGTCACAGTTATACCTGTCTCTCAGGCCACCTGCAGTTAGAGTGGTATATATATATTGTCCGTTTATACACCTGTTCTCAGCATATTGTCTGTCTGTCCACTTGTACTGAGTGGACACTGAATGTGAGTATATTCACGCACGCGTGTGTGTTTCGTGAGTATGAGTACATGTAGGCGTGCGGGCGTGACGTACCTGGGACAGAGGGCTGAGGACCTGGCGAGAGGCAGCAAGGGTAGCGGGGGTCCGGACTCCGTGGGGGACCTGAGGGGGAGGAGAGGGCAGCCATTGTCATCAACCTCACAAGTATACACTCATTAATGTATGTTCTCCCCCCTCCCTCACTACCCCCGGGTCATCCTCATGGGTCTTGGCCCTCATTGTTGCTCCTCTCTTCTCATTCTCTCTTCCTAGTCCTTCTACTCCCTTGTCTTCTTTATCATCTTCTGATGCACGGCGTACCTGATTGAGGGAGGCAGGGAGGCAGGGAGGTAGGGAGAGAGGCAGGGAGAGAGGCCAGAGAAGAACCTTAAACACAGTAAGCCATAGATCACATCCTGGTAAGCTGAGGCCATCCTGAGGGCCTGAATATTGCATATTTACGCAGCAGAGACTTACAGGGGGATCTCCTCCCTCATTCCCTGAGCCACAGATGACAGCGTCCTCTGTGGGGGTGAAGGGTCCCATCCCCCTTGACTCAGTGTACTCAGGACGGTAATGGGTGTATACTCATGTACTCGTCTTCTCCACTCTGAATTCGTTACCCACGTATAGAGTACTTGCACTGGTGGTGAGTGACAGCTGGCTGAGTAAGTTCACAGAAATGTTGTTGTTGGTGAGTCTCCTCTGAGTACAAGGGGAAGGGGTGGGTACAGCAGGGGGAGTGGGAGAGTGGGTACAGCAGGGGGAGCGGGAGAGTGGGTACAGCAGGGGGTGGGGAGAGTGTGGGTACATCAACCCCCGCCCCTTGATTTGATGAACACTTACAATTTCTGCCTGCCACCTTCCCAATGACAACTTGACTTACAAAGTTCACCGCCAGGCACCTTACAACAGGCAAGCACACCTCACCTACGAATATTTGTGCTTGACAACACACACCCGCCTCTAGTGTAAAAATCAACCCCCGTTCGACACCCAGATATATAACTTACTCTAAAGGAAGCTTGCAATGTCGTGTTTGACTCACCTCGCGTCGTGAGATGAGGAAGAGTTGAGGGCCCGAGGCAGCAACAATTCAGCTGTGTGGTCCGTAACCTCAGAGTGGGTGAGAGTGGATGTCTGTTCCCTCTTGCTCCAGTACACTCTGCTCGACTTGAAGCTACGACACTCGTAGCTACGCGTGTCGTAGCTACGAGAGTTTATCTGGGTGTTGAGGGTGGTGGAGCGCCATGTTTGGGTCTGGGTCGAGGAGATGGCGGGGGTGTTATAGCTGGTTCAGGGAACTAAAGACTGAAACTTCATCGACACAAAGAATTAATACCAGAATGGCAAGACATTTTTAGACACATTTAATCATGTGGGACTCACATGTATGTGGAGCCACGGTTACCAGGTGTGTGTGTGTGTCTTAATATGAAAGTGAAGCTACAGTAGCCAGCTGTATTTCTTACAAACATGTGCAGCAAAAATTGTTTCGCAATTGGCATGTAAACAGTCTGTAAACATTGATTCTCACATTTACCAAGATCCAAACATAATTCTCACATACCTATGTACCTGAATTTACCTGAGGGCCACCATCTCTTGTGGCCTCGACGGGGACAATTTCAAAAGCAGATATAACAGAAACAAAATAAGTTAAATATGATTGAAGTGAGACAACAGGCGACTGGAAAGTCAGGGGGGCCAAGAGCTAAAGCTCCACCCCCCCACACACACGCACACACACGCGCGCACACACACACCACACACACACCCACACACACACACACCCACCCACCCACCCACACACACACACACACCACCCACCCACACCCACACACACACACACACACCCACCCACCCACACACACACACACACACACACACACACACACACACACACACACACACACACACCCACCCACACCCACACACACACACACACACACACACACCACACCCACACCCACACACACCCACACACACACACACACACACACACACACACACACACACACACACACACACACACCCGTCTCCCATAACAGCCTCAGTCAACTCGTCAACAAAAAATTACCGCAGGCGGCTTTTTCTTGCAGAAATTGAAGATGCCGTAGACGATGGGGTTCACGCAGGAGTTGAAGCAGGCGAAGATGAAGAGCCCCTTCTTGACCTTCTCGTCCAGCAGGGCCGCCGCCGACCTGTCGAAGCAGAACCTGCCAAGGAGAAGTGTGTGTGTCAGTTCATTAGTGAGCTGACACTATCTATGCTTAACTGTATGTATTCTGTCCTGATAACTCACTCACTCACTAGGGTGGAAACTGTCAGAGAGAAGTGTGTGTGTGTGTGTGTGTGTGTGTGTGTGTGTGTGTGTGTGTGTGTGTGTGTGTGTGTGTGTGTGTGTGTGTGTGTGTGTGTGTGTGTGTTTCTCCTCACTAAAGAGAACCTTGTGATACATACAGGTCAAAATACATACAGGTCAAAGTACATATAGGTCAGAATACATACAGGCTCGAATACATACAGGTCAGAATACATACAAGTCAGCATACATACAAGAAAATGTTAAAGTTGAGCATAGATACAGGTGAGCATACATATGATAACACAAAGCCTGCAACTCGTCAGATAAGGCGAGATATCAGACTCACTCGTTAGATAAGGCGAGATATCAGACTCACTCGTTAGGTAAGGCGAGATATCAGACTCACTCGTCAGATAAGGCGAGATATCAGACTCACTCGTCAGATAGGGCGTGATATCAGACTCACTCGGCAGATAGGGCGAGATATCAGACTCACTCGTCAGATAAGGCGAGATATCAGACTCACTCGGCAGATAAGGCAAGATATCACATCACTGTCACTCCCCACTATACACATATAAATCACATGAACGCGATCAATCAATGAACAAATCCATCCAACAGAAGCCTTGACGAGGAGTGATTCGAACCTACGTCAAACCATGTCGTGGTGGTGCAGTCGACTAGAGCACATCTGGGAATACCCAGTACATAGGTTTGAACCCTTATCACGGCTCCTGCTGAACCTATTCTCACTATGAAAGACTCACAATGCCGCCTCACACTATCTTGCAGCGATAACAGGTGAGCGATAACACCAAACACAGATGAGTCATAATAGATCAGATTATTTAATGATCCCATTAATCAAAGGATTTAATTCCACAAATGAAACGTCTGACTAAGCCAGATTAATTAGATTGAAACACATTACGACAGGTGAGCTGAATCGCCAAGATAAATTAGTTGGAGTGAATGTTATCCAGTCAATTATGCATTCCTAAATTTGTTTAATTTCATTCGAGACTTGATATAATTTTTAATATAAAATATTTATAACTTGTTATATAACCTGGTTAGAACAATTTGTTTGGAAATTTGCAATTACATTTGTGAAAATTAATTAGAAAAATAATCTCAGGAAAGTCATGACAGATTCTTCCCAGGTCTGTCACGTGACAGGTCTGTCACGTGACCAGGCCTGTCACGTGACCAGGTCTGTCACGTGACCAGGTCTGTCACGTGACCAGGTTTGTCACGTGACAGGCCTGTCACGTGACCAGGCCTGTCACGTGACCAGCCCTGTCACGTGACCAGGTTTGTCACGTGAACAGGTTTGTCACGTGACCAGGTTTGTCACGTGACCAGCCCTGTCACGTGACCAGGTTTGTCACGTGACCAGGTTTGTCACGTGACAGACCTGTCACGTGACCAGCCCTGTCACGTGACCAGGTCTGTCACGTGACCAGCCCTGTCACGTGACCAGGTCTGTCACGTGACCAGCCCTGTCACGTGACCAGGTCTGTCACGTGACCAGGTTTGTCACGTGACCAGGTTTGTCACGTGACCAGGTTTGTCACGTGACAGGGCTAATAAAGTCAGAAGACACATGCCAAACAATAAAGAATAACAGGAGACACAAGACAGACAAAGTTACAAAACACCAGAAACTCTCTCTCTCTCAGGAAGGAAACTCGGTACACACGAACAAAACCACAAGGGCCGTGACGAGCATTCGAACCTGCGTCCGGGAGCATCCCAGACACTGCCTTAATCGACTGACTGCCTTAGTCGGTACACATCTGTCATTACAGTCATATTCTGGTAGAGGATAGAAGTATACATCAGTATTGGCCAGGGTAGTTGTCTCTTGAGGATGACGTCCCTGCCCTCTCTTGGTTGTATATCCTCTGTTATGCTCCTTAAGGAGGACCTGAAGGCTCCTTGCCCACCCTTAGGGAACCCCTCCAGCTAGTGTGCAATGTTCACGCCTTATCTTGAGATGCTTTCGGGGCTTTAGTGTCCCCGCGGCCCGGTGCTCGACCAGGCCTCCACCCCCCAGGAAGCAGCCCGTAACAGCTGACTAACACCCAGGTACCTATTTTACTGCTAGGTAACAGGGGCATAGGGTGAAAGAAATTCTGCCCATTGTTTCTCGCCGGCGCCTGGGATCGAACCCAGGACCACAGGATCACAAGTCCAGCGTGCTGTCCGCTCGGCTCCTCCCTCATTGCAGAGGTTCCAAAAATGGCCACGATGCCTCAGCAAGGACAACAATGCCCATCCTCAGGGTCGGTCCCCTGGAGAAGCTTGATGCCCACTCCCAGGAAGATGCCCAGAAGTGCCCACTGAGTCCCTTCCTGGGTTGACACTTCCTGACTGTGCCCAAGCAACAAGGTCCATCACAGAACGCAACATTTCAACATGATCTACTACCAGATCATCACCAGAAACATCAGAGATTATACATAGCCTAAGTACTATATCTTAAACCCTCTCATCCAACTACCGACACCCAGCACATCCTCCCCATACACAAGACCGAGACTTGCTTGAACCTCCCCAAGCGCCCCAGCCGGCCAATGAGAATTCAGGTTAAGATTTCCCAGTTCCCTTCGACTGGACAACATTTCATTTCACCCTCCATCCTCTGTGGTATATTTTCTGTCGCTCTCGTGAATCTATATTCACTTTCCCTCTGACTCCAAAAGTGTTGGGAGTGTTTCAACTTTAGCGACTCGCGTCAAGCCAAATGTAACTGTAAAATGAATTTTGAGAAAAATGAATGTTTCAATTTACCTCATTTTCTCTTTCGGTCATGTTCAATATCACATGACAACAGCACGAGCGGATGTTTCTACTTGGTACCCTGAGAATAATTTTTGAGAAGGGCTGGACTGTAATAAATTCTTAGGCATGTGCAAGGCACACATCTTCCCTGAGCATTGGCATGTGTTAAAGTGTGGATGTATGTGGGCCCCAGCCAGTGGGCCCCCAGCCAGTGGGCCCCAGCCAGTGGGCCCCAGCCAGTGGGCCACAGCCAGTGGGCCCCCAGCCAGTGGGCCCCAGCGAGTAGTTATGACTCGTACAAAACTCACAACGTCCAGAGACTCGTTCTAAAAGTCACTGACAGAACTCCTATTATTCTTCTACTACACTACAATATTCTACCCATATATACTTCCTCACACAAATAGTCGTCAATAAAACGAATCCAAACAATCTAATCTTACCAATGTTGCCACATTATTTATGCAATTTTAATTTGATATTATGCCGCTTTGCATTGCAAGAGTCGAGAGGTTCAGGAGCCTCTATTGAGTATAGAATGCAACACGTCCGTTCCTCAGAGGCCACAGACCCCACCAGAAGACTCACTGGAGACGCAGAAGCCTCACGGGGCTCTTGAGAAACATCACAGATACTCAATTAGACTCACCTTAAGACTACATAAAAGGGTCCCCAAAAGACTCAAGAAGACTTACCAAAGGCTGATGACGACATAAGGAGTCCAGCAGACGAAGAAGGCGAGCACGATGCTGACTGTCATCTTGATGGTCCTGGTTCGAGCCCGTCCGAGGTAACCCAGACTGGAACGTCGTATTGTAGTGTCTGGGAGAAACAAACAACTCCTCAACATGGGTGTGGAAGAAAGGGGGGGGGGAGGGGGAAGGGGGAAAACGGAAGGGAACTATCAGGGGGGGGGAAAGCGCCAAGCCATTACGAGTATATAGCCTTGGGTAAGGGGTCAGGATAAGGATTTGGGGTGGGACGGTGGGGGGGGGGGGGGGGAGAATGATGCCCAACCACTTGGACGGTCGGGGATTGAACGCCGACCCGCATGAAGCGAGACCGTCGCTCTACCGTCCACCCCAAGTGGCTGGGGGAAAGGGGGGAAAATAAGGATATAACAAAAGAGGAAAATGGTACTGAGAGAAAGGGACCAATAGGCATAAAAGTGGTGAGAAAGGGTATTAAAGATGGGAAATGGAAACTTGAGAGAGGGCAACATGAGGGAAAGTTTAATAATTAGCGTGTGACTGACAAGAGAACAGATCCTCACAACCCTATAGGAGGAGGAGGGACATGATAACGACATGAAAGATCCTAAGCGGAATTGACAAAGTAAACAAATCAGGAACGGCAGAATGAGGGAGGGAGACATAGCTGGAAATTAAATGCACAGACAACTTACAGAGGTTACCTTGAGGTGCTTCCGGGGCTTAGCGTCCCCGCGGCCCGGTCGTCGACCAGGCCTCCTGGTTGCTGGACTGATCAACCAGGCTGTTGGACGCGGCTGCTCGCAGCCTGACGTATGAGTCACAGCCTCATACGTCAGGCTGCGTGACATAAATAACTTCATAAATGCTAAAGACTTCAATAAGGGGAAGATGTTGAACGAAACAGTTGAAGGAAAATATTATAAAAAGGGAAGAATTGAGTATTTGCAGTAAATTACGATTATCTGGTGTATAAATTCCTCTACGACAGTTGAGAGGCGGGACCAAAGAACTGAAGCTCAACCCCCCCGCAAGCACAACTAAGTGAGTACACACACACACACACACACACACACACACACACACACACACACACACACACACACACACACACACACACAAACACACAAACACACAAACACACACACACAAACACACAAACACACAAACACACAAACACACACACACACACACACACACACACACACACACACACACACACACACTCACACACTCAGGCCTCAACAAACCTCAAATGGATTTTTAATATCACAAAAAATGGTCCTTTCATATTGAAGCGATTCGAAGACAAATATTTTCTTCCGTGATTGTGAATGTGGAGAAGGATGCTCACCACAGACCCGGGATAATCCCATTCCATCTCTCCAGGGAAACAATCAGGGAAAGTTCAAAGGAATTTCATTTCGAATATCCTATTGTGATTCAAAAAAAAATTCTAACAAATTAATTTGTCTGCTTTCTACTAATTTGTCGTTCATTGGAAATGCTGAAGCGCTTTGTTGAGCTTGTGTGTGTGTGTGTGTGTGTGTGTGTGTGTGTGTGTGTGTGTGTGTGTGTGTGTGTGTGTGTGTGTGTGTACTCACCTATATGTACTCACCTATATGTGCTTGCAGGATCGAGCATTGACTCTTGGATCCCGCCTTTCTAGCTATCGGTTGTTTACAGCAATGACTCCTGTCCCATTTCCCTGTCATACCTAGTTTTAAAAGTATGAATAGTATTTGCTTCCACAACCTGTTCCCCAAGTGCATTCCATATTTCTACTACTCTCACGCTAAAAGAAAACTTCCTAACATCTCTGTGACTCATCTGAGTTTCCAGTTTCCACCCATGTCCCCTCGTTCTGTTATTATTACGTGTGAACATTTCATCTATTTCCACTTTGTCAATTCCCCTGAGTATTTTATATGTCCCTATCATATCTCCTCTCTCCCTTCTTTTCTCTAGTGTCGTAAGGTTCAGTTCCTTCAGCCGCTCTTCATATCCCATCCCTCGTAGCTCTGGGACAAGCCTCGTCGCAAACCTCTGAACCTTCTCCAGTTTCCTTATGTGTTTCTTCAGGTGGGGGCTCCATGATGGCGCGGCATACTCTAAGACGGGTCTCACGTAGGCAGTGTAAAGCGCCCTAAAAGCTTCCTCATTTAGGTTTCTGAATGAAGTTCTAATTTTCGCCAGTGTAGAGTACGCTGCTGTCGTTATCCTATTTATATGTGCCTCAGGAGTTAGATTAGGTGTCACATCCACTCCCAGGTCTCTTTCTCGAATCGTTACAGGTAGGCTGTTCCCCTTCATTGTGTACTGTCCCTTTGGTCTCCTGTCACCTGATCCCATTTCCATAACTTTACATTTACTGGTGTTAAACTCCAGTAGCCATTTCCCTGACCATCTCTGCAGCCTGTTTAAGTCCTCTTGGAGGATCCTACAATCCTCGTCTGTGACAACTCTTCTCATTAATTTTGCGTCATCTGCAAACATTGACATGTATGATTCCACTCCTGTAAACATATCATTTACGTAAATTAGAAAGAGGAATGGTCCCAGCACCGATCCTTGAGGTACTCCACTTGTTACTGTTCGCCAGTCCGACTTTTCGCCCCTTACCGTGTGTGTGTGTGTGTGTGTGTGTGTGTGTGTGTGTGTGTGTGTGTGTGTGTGTGTGTGTGTGTGTGTGTGTGTGTGTGTGTGTGCTCATCTATTTGTGTTTGCAGGATTGAATTTTAGCGTTTGGATCCTGTATTTCAAGCCACCTGTTTAGTCTAGTGTCTATTGCAAGTCTATTGCAAAGACTCCTGCCCTACTCCTCTATCATATCTACTTTAAAGTTATAAATTTAGTTAGCTTCTATAACTTGCAAATTTATTTTATTCCATTTTTCCAACTACCTTTCTACCTTTCTACCTTTTTCTACCTGTTTTCACCTTTCCTTTAGAAAGGTAGAAACCTTTCTTATGTCTAGATAACATCTGATTCTAAAAGCTTCCAGCCATGTTCTCTTGTTCTTTTGGTCTTCATGCTGAACATCCAGCCCTTTTTCCACTCGCTCACTCCCTCTAAAGTATTTTGTATGTCTCTAACATATTTCCTCTTTCTCTTCCCTTTCGTCTAGACAGAAAGGCCCAATCACTTGGGCTGGACGGTAGAGCGACGGTCTCGCTTCATGCAGGTCGGCGTTCAATCCCCCGACCGTCCACAAGGGGTTGGGTACCATTCCTTTCCCCCGCCCCATCCCAAATCCTTATCCTGACCCCTTCCCAGTGCTATAGTCGTAATGAATTGGCGCTTTCCCCTGATAATTTCCTCCTTAGACAGAAAGTAAGCATACGCTGAGACAGCATATAAGACAGCATAGAAACCGGGGCCAGATTCACGTAGCAGTTACGCAGGTACATACGAACCTGTACATCTTTCCTCAATCTTTGACGGCTTTGTTTACAATTATTGAACAGTTAATGAGCTCCGAAGCACCAGGAGGCTGTTTATAACAATAAAAACAGTTGATTGGCAAGTTTTCATGCTTGTAAACTGTTTAATAAATGTAACCAAAGCCGTCAAACAGTTTACAAGCATGAAAACTTGCCAATCAACTGTTGTTATTGTTATAAACAGCCTCCTGGTGCTTCGGAGCTCATTAACTGTTCAATAATTGTAAACAAAGCCGCAAAAGATTGTGAAAAGATGGACAGGGTCGTAAGTACCTGCGTAACTGCTTCGTGAATCTGGCCCCTGGCGTGTATTCCCTCTGTAGTCTACCTTTCTACTTCCTCCTTTGCCTTCTCTCTTTTCATTCAAATCCTTCTTCTCCTCTCCTCCTCTTGCTTAGTGCCTCCATCTCCTGCTCCTCCACCGCCTTATCGATCCTCCCTATCCACCCTACACCTGTTCCTGTCCTTCTATCCATCGTCTACTTACCGTCAGAGGAGAGTCTGCTCTTCTGGAAGATGGTGAGAACAATAGCGGCGTAGAAGATGATGATGATAGTGAGGGGCGCCACGTAGAGCATCACCAGACAGAAGATGTTGTACACCATCTCATGGTGCATCGAGGGGAAGAAGTTGAAGGTGACGCACTGGACGTAGAAGGTGAAGAGAGGGTGCGTCTCCACGTGGAAGATGATCACCTGTAACAAACAAACACATAAGGTCAACAAATCCACGAGGGCCGCGAGACGAGGATTCGAACCTACGTCCGAGATCATCCCCGGACGCTGCCTTATTAATAAGGTCGTGTTATGAAACACATAAAGGTCATGTTACAATGAGCAGCGAGCACTCAGAGGCACTCTGCCACTCAGAACGGCGCCAGGGGAACGAGTGCTAACTATCAGGGGTAGCTATCAGATGGTCCAACGGCATTAGGCTATCAGGATTTAGATATCAGGACAAGGAGCTGCTGTATGAGGACTGGAAGCTGGGATATTAGGACAAGAAGCTGGGATATGAAGACAGGAAGCTAGGATATGAAGACAGGAAGCTGGGATATGAGGACGGAAAGCTGGGATATGAAGACAGGAAGCTGGGATATGAAGACAGGAAGCTGAGATATGAGGACAAGAAGCTGAGATATGAGGACAAGAAACTGGGATATGAGGACAAGAAGCTGGGATATGAGGACAGGAAGCTGGGATATGAAGACAGGAAGCTGGGATATGAGAACAAGAAGCTGGGATATGAGGACAAGAAGCTGGGATATGACGACAGGAAGCTGGGATATGAAGACAGGAAGCTGGGATATGAAGGAGCTGTTCATATCCCAGCCACTTGGATCACTGGGAATCCTACGCTCCAACGCTACATCTATCCAAGTGGATAGACATTCCAAGGAGGAGCTTATAACATGAATAATGGCTGCATGGGTCACCACTTACAGCTTGCCCCCTCGAGTACACCAACGTGAATGTCAAGTCACTCGTAAGTGCTCGTAAGAGAACTATCAGTTAATTCTTCTAGTCTATTGGGATCCAAATTGCTCGTATAATGGATAAGATTATTACAGTAGGTTAAGTCACTGATGTTCAGACGGAGGATGTGAATCATTAGTATTTCTTGTGTTGTAATACCTGGAACACATCTGTTGTACCGCACTCACACCTGTCAGTCAGGCCAGGTAAGCCTGCACCTGCTGACTCATGACAATCAGAGGACCGAGTCAGACTCAGCGGGAATATAATAAGATCCCGTCGCGTTGGAACTGGATCATACGCCCCCCCCCTCCTAAAGGCCGGGAGGTGATGAGGATGGTGATGAATGAGGGCTGGGATAGTGAGGAAGTTGATGAAGGGTGATGATGTAGGAAACTGGTTAATAAATACAAACTTCACCGCCCACCATGATCATGTAAAGATGCACAGGTTTCGTACGGGGGGGGGGGGGGGGGGGGGGGTAAGACATAAACACCTGACGAACCCTTTCCCGCAAGTTGTCAAAGGGTTCTTGAAACCAGCTTCCTCACGCAAGCCAGTCGAAGTGAGACACCTTCACTTCGAAGTGACACGCTTACACTTCGAAGTGAGACGCCTTCACTTCGAAGTGAGACGCCTTCACTTCGAAGTGAGACACCTTCACTTCGAAGTGAGACACCTTCACTTCGAAGTGAGACGCCTTCACTTCGAAGTGAGACGCCTTCACTTCGAAGTGAGACGCCTTCACTTCGAAGTGAGACACCTTCACTTCGAAGTGAGACACCTTCACTTCGAAGTGAGACGCCTTCACTTCGAAGTGAGACGCCTTCACTTCGAAGTGAGACGCCTTCACTTCGAAGTGAGACGCCTTCACTTCGAAGTGAGACGCCTTCACTTCGAAGTGAGACGCCTTCACTTCGAAGTGAGACGCCTTCACTTCGAAGTGAGACACTTTCCTCCTGCTAACACCCATTACCTACATCCCCCTTTCCCTCCCATCACCCCTTTTCCCCTCCCCCATCCCTGGGACACTGACCTGTGGAAGGGAGCAGGAGAAGGCCAGGAACCAAGCGAAAAGTAGCATGATCTTCCCGCGTCTGTCAGCCGCGTTGAGGCTCAAAGGGTGCACCACAGCGAAGTACCTGTTGGTCAAACTTCGTCAGTTACTCCTAGTTCACAACTACTAGTGTACTAGTAGTATCTATACCTAGTGTTCCAGTGTTCGTAACTAGTGTACCAGTGTTCGTACCTAGTGTACCAGTGTTCTTACCTAGTGTACCAGTGCTCGTAACTAGTGTTCCAGTGCTCGTAACTAGTGTTCCAGTGTTCGTAACTAGTGTTCCAGTGTTCGTAACTAGTGTTCCAGTGCTCGTAACTAGTGTACCAGTGTTCGTAACTAGTGTTCCAGTGCTCGTAACTAGTGTTCCAGTGCTCGTAACTAGTGTTCCAGTGTTCGTAACTAGTGTTCCAGTGCTCGTAACTAGTGTTCCAGTGCTCGTAACTAGTGTACCAGTGTTCGTAAGTATATATATCCAATACTATATTCAGGAGTTATTCCTGAAATACACAGAAAACGGGTTAATATTTTAGATTAAATTAGATTCCCCTTAAACTGACATCAGATTATAAGTTAATTGGCAATTCCAGGGAAACCTTAATTGTTTATCTGGGCAAGGAATAGAAACAAGGAAAGCAATAATATTACTAAATACATTTTGTAGTGTGGCGAAATCTAGGGACTCTCCTAGTAACATTTCATCTCCACTAATTACATAAGGGTCTGCTGTCATTATATAGTCATTATACCGTCCCCAACTTATAATGAGTCAAAATCCCTGATCTACTCTACGGGCTCACCATAGCCCGTGTTACTTGGAACATTGTTCCAGGTAGCGAATCTTTAACAACAACAACAACATGATCTACCAAGGCACTGCGGGCTCACCATAGCCCGTGCTACTTGGAACTGTTCCAGGTAGCGAATCTTTAACAACAACAGCAACCTGATCTACCTATGTTGGTCAACATTCACCCCCACCTCACTCCCTCTCACCAGTCCCCCTGCAAAGTTGTTGAAGCTTGCCGCCAGGCTTAATGCTCATTGTTAACTAAAGTTTGCTACTGATTAATGCTTTCCGAAAATACACACAGAGAGGTGTTTCCAGTTTCTCGCTTTACATGTAAACTAAAAGATTACTTTAGTCTGCCTCAAATACATATCAATAATATGCTTATATTACAGGGTGATTCAACAAGAGGTTCACAACAGTCACTATGCAAGGCATTTTACATCTATGGTGAGTCACACAGTTACTAGTCTTGCTCCACACCCACCCAACTGGGCGGCAGCTTTACAGTCATGTGCTCCACACCCACCCAACTGGGCGGCAGCTTTACAGTATGTGCAGCTGCACCTACAGTAAGCAAATTTTGGATACTTGGCTAAGATTCCCGGCAGTACATCATTATGAATGGAGAACTTACACATTTCTTGAACACCATTGATGGTGTTATCTCTGAATTCCGCGAATTTTTCCATTCCATTATATAATGACGCAAAGTATGCGAATAGTTCTGCTGACAGAGTTTACATTTAGTCAAATCTACATCAGCAGATGTTACAGACTGCCAGAGGTACTTGTAGCCGAGCCTAAGCCTAGCAGTGGTAACATCTAGAAGTCTGCTAACCTTACTGGATGACCCATAGACGTGCGGTTCTTCCTGCATAATAGAATGACGATAGATGGAGTAACTGGTATGAATGATCATTAGACCCTTCGATAGTGGATAGAGCCCCATCCCTAGCTCTCAGGACCTCGTCTCCCAGGTCTTGCAATCCAGGACATGTTGCCCCTTCTTGAGGTTATCTTGAGATGATTTCGGGGCTTTAGTGTCCCCGCGGCCCGGTCCTCGACCAGGCCTCCACCCCCAGGAAGCAGCCCGTGACAGCTGACTAACACCTAGGTACCTATTTACTGCTAGGTAACAGGGGCATTCAGGGTGAAAGAAACTTTGCCCATTTGTTTCTGCCTCGTGCGGGAATCGAACCCGCGCCGCAGAATTACGAGTCCTGCGCGCTATCCACCAGGCTACGAGGCCCCTTCATGCGCCCTTGTTGCCAACTCAAATGTCGCTATCCGCTCGGCCCCACAAATCGTCTTGACATGGAAGTACGACTTGACAAGTGTCTCAAGGCTTAGAATTACACGTTGAAGCCTTGCCTGTGGCACCTCTACGCAACGTAAACATTGCAGCCACTTTCCCTTGCCAGGGGCTTGACCTGAAGACCTCGGCTCACTCTCACCAGTCAAGCGTGGAAGTGTGATCTCACACACACACCTTGACCTCAGGTAAATCCTCTTGCAACAGCGGCTTGGTGTCCCGAACACGCTTTCTGTTGTTTTGCACGTTGCATCCCTAGTCATTTGTTCGTTACCTTGGGTTGCACGGCCTTAGAAGATTCTCCTCTCTAATATGCAATATATAGCTTGCGTCACAGGACCCCTACAGCTTCATGCGTCTATTACAACACCCACACAGCTTCATGCGTCTATTACAACATCTCCACACAGCTTCATGCGTCTATTACAACACCCGCACAGCTTCATGCGTCTATTACAACACCCACACAGCTTCATGCGTCTATTACAACACCCACACACAGCTTCATGCGTCTATTACAACACCCCATACAGCTTCATGGATCCATTACAACACACCCCACACAGCTTCATGCGTCCATTACAGCATCCACACAGCTTCATGCGTCCATTACAACACCCCACACAGCTTCATGCGTCCATTACAACACCCACACAGCTTCATGCGTCCATTACAACACACCCCACAAAGCTTCATGCGTCCATTACAACACCCACACAGCTTCATGCGTCCATTACAACACACCCCACACAGCTTCATGCGTCCATTACAACACCCACACAGCTTCATGCGTCCATTACAACACACCCCGTCACAGCTTCATGCGTCCATTACAACACCCACACAGCTTCATGCGTCCATTACAACACCCACACAGCTTCACGCGTCCATTACAGCACCCCGTCACAGCTTCACGCGTCCATTACAGCACCCCGTCACAGCTTCATGCGTCCATTACAACACCCCGTCACAGCTTCATGCGTCCATTACAACACACCGTCACAGCTTCATGCGTCCATTACAACACCCCGTCACAGCTTCATGCGTCCATTACAACACCTCCACAGCTTCATGCGTCCATTACAACACCCACACAGCTTCATGCGTCCATTACAACACCCCACAAAGCTTCATGCGTCCATTACAACACCCACACAGCTTCATGCGTCCATTACAACACACCCCACACAGCTTCATGCGTCCATTACAACACCCACACAGCTTCATGCGTCCATTACAACACACCCCGTCACAGCTTCATGCGTCCATTACAACACCCACACAGCTTCATGCGTCCATTACAACACCCACACAGCTTCACGCGTCCATTACAGCACCCCGTCACAGCTTCACGCGTCCATTACAGCACCCCGTCACAGCTTCATGCGTCCATTACAACACCCCGTCACAGCTTCATGCGTCCATTACAACACACCGTCACAGCTTCATGCGTCCATTACAACACCCCGTCACAGCTTCATGCGTCCATTACAACACCTCCACAGCTTCATGCGTCCATTACAACACATCCTGTCACAGCTTCATGCGTCCATTACAACGCCCACACAGCTTCATGCGTCCATTACAACACCCACACAGCTTCATGCGTCCATTACAACACCCCACACAGCTTCATGCGTCCATTACAACACCCACACAGCTTCATGCGTCCATTACAACACCCACACAGCTTCATGCGTCTATTACAACACACCCCACACAGCTTCATGCGCCCATTACAACACACCCCACACAGCTTCATGCTTCCATTACAACACACCCACACAGCTTCATGCGCCCATTACAACACACCCCGTCACAGCTTCATGCGTCAAAGGCAGCGTCACCAGCAGCAGCAGGAGAGGCCGGACAGCCGGATAATATCTGTGTAGTGATTGTGTGAGAGTGGACCCCGGGCACCTGCTGGCTGACCCATGATCCTCCTCCTACTCCTCCTCCTCCTACTGCTGCTGCTGCTGCTGCTGCTGACGGCTCCTGCTGAAGGCTAGTGATGAGGGTGAAGGTGAGGGAGAGTATGCGCGTGTTGTCATATTCTCCAGCGTGGCACTGAAGCTCTTAGTGTGATTGGCTGTTGGTGATATCTCACACTTACAGTATTATTGATGTTGATCCCCGCGTGAAGTAATGTGTGTTTTTTACTTATAATGACGCTGGTAGTAACTGTGAGTGGTGAGTCACAATGGGGACTCTATGCTCCTAGTAGTGTTGTGAGGGCCGCCTGACTGACCAGTATGTAACTATGTGTATGTATAATGTATACATAAGGCATTAAAAGTGTGTGTATATGTGTGTATAACATCTATGACCTGATCCCACACACACATCTCTTTATTGTCTTTATTTGTGTCTGACTTAATAATTTGAGCTCACTCAAGTGAGTGAGTTTGTGCTCACTCAAGCCTTCACTCTAAGCTGAGTCCTACTTTCCCTCAGCTCTGAGATTAATCTCACTATCCTCAGCTCTGAGATTAATCTCACTATGCGTCTCACTGAACCTTTGAAGGTTTATGATTTTTTTTTTTATGTTTGGATTTTCAATGCTTGTGCTGCATACTCAAGAGTTGGTATTACGTTGGTTGTATATAGCATTTTATTCATAAGGTTCACTCTCCAACTCACATATATATGAGATTATATAGCACTTACAAGGCATTTTTTTTTGTTAAAGTTCCTAAGTTCTATCAACGACTTTGCCAGCATACA